AGTCCTGCTCGGGACCTCCTGGTAGATCTGCTCACGACCTCCTGGTAGCCCTGCTCAAGACCTCCTGGTAGATCTGCGTAAGACCTCCTGGTAGTCCTGCTCGGGACCTCCTGGTAGATCTGCTCACGACCTCCTGGTAGCCCTGCTCAAGACCTCCTGGTAGATCTGCGTAAGACCTCCTGGTAGTCCTGCTCGGGACCTCCTGGTAGATCTGCTCACGACCTCCTGGTAGCCCTGCTCAAGACCTCCTGGTAGATCTGCGTAAGACCTCCTGGTAGTCCTGCTCGGGACCTCCTGGTAGATCTGCTCACGACCTCCTGGTAGCCCTGCTCAAGACCTCCTGGTAGATCTGCGTAAGACCTCCTGGTAGTCCTGCTCGGGACCTCCTGGTAGATCTGCTCACGACCTCCTGGTAGCCCTGCTCAAGACCTCCTGGTAGATCTGCGTAAGACCTCCTGGTAGTCCTGCTCGGGACCTCCTGGTAGATCTGCTCACGACCTCCTGGTAGCCCTGCTCAAGACCTCCTGGTAGATCTGCGTAAGACCTCCTGGTAGTCCTGCTCGGGACCTCCTGGTAGATCTGCTCACGACCTCCTGGTAGCCCTGCTCAAGACCTCCTGGTAGATCTGCGTAAGACCTCCTGGTAGTCCTGCTCGGGACCTCCTGGTAGATCTGCTCACGACCTCCTGGTAGCCCTGCTCAAGACCTCCTGGTAGATCTGCGTAAGACCTCCTGGTAGTCCTGCTCGGGACCTCCTGGTAGATCTGCTCACGACCTCCTGGTAGCCCTGCTCAAGACCTCCTGGTAGATCTGCGTAAGACCTCCTGGTAGTCCTGCTCGGGACCTCCTGGTAGATCTGCTCACGACCTCCTGGTAGCCCTGCTCAAGACCTCCTGGTAGATCTGCGTAAGACCTCCTGGTAGTCCTGCTCGGGACCTCCTGGTAGATCTGCTCACGACCTCCTGGTAGCCCTGCTCAAGACCTCCTGGTAGATCTGCGTAAGACCTCCTGGTAGTCCTGCTCAAGACCTCCTGGTAGATCTGCTCCAGACCTCCTGGTAGACCTGCTCAAGACCTCCCATGTGATAGAAAGCAATCTCCCACTCGAAGTCCCTTGGGCACAGAATAAACCATTGAAAGGAAGAGATGTCCCACCTGTCCAAGGACTGTACTGGCTTACGCCAGGCCACCTTTGCTGGACTATCCTGGTATTTGGGTGGGGATGACCAGCACATAGGAACAACTAGGTACCAATCAGCACTGAGTGAGCGTCTGTGGAGGGTGGGTAAGGGTACCTGAGGACACAGGAGGTAAGGTTCCTGAGAGCCTTCAGTATCCCAGATGCCAGAACTGCCCACTGACCTGAGAACAAGCCTGGGTAGTATTCCTTTTACTGGACCCAGCCAGAGACTGGGCTGGAGTTCTCGGGGATGGGGCTAGCACTCGGGAGCTCCCATCCAGCCACAGTGGTGAATGGGCCCAGATACGCCAGCCTTGTTAGCACCCCTTCCTCTCTGTTACTTGCCAATCCCTCTGGACTCTAAGATCATAACACTCAGTCATTCTCTTAAAAGCCACTCAATGCTTTAGAAGCTGCTGCAGACCTTGGAGTGTGAGGCTGGGGCTTCACTCTGTGCCGATGTTCTGCTTGAAAGGAACAGACGGAGCCCACAAGTGAGTCCATGGCACGTGCACAGTACCCTCCCCTCTGTGCCCAGATTGCAGGCCAACTCCTCCCTCTGATGCCCATCACACTTCAGAATCCCCGAGTGTGTGTCATTAACCTCAACTCCTGGGCTTCAGACCATAGACATAGAAGAGCACCCACCCAGCTCACACCTACCCACACCCAGAGTGTGGGTCTCTGCAGGCTGCCCAGTGTCTGTGGCTTCCCCAGACCAGGAGCTCACTCTAGTCTGTGCCCTGACCACTGCTCCCTTAGAGCCCCACCCTACAATGAGGGACTTTGTAAGTCCCCAAATCACTCCCACACAGATGCACCCCAAACTGTTATTTCCATAGCCACCTCCATCCCATGTATCACTGGACTCAGATGACAGCTAGGAATCCCATCACTGGCCACCTCACCTTGCTCTGGGAACAAGTGTCAGGCTGTCCCCTTCTTCCCTAGCCACTGTGATCCTGATAAGCTGTAATCAACCACGTCATTTATGAGATCAAATGGTATGCAACATCTAGTGCCCCCCTGCAGTTCCCCACAGCCCCCCACAGCACTCTGCCAGTAGTGGCAAGGCCACCTTCTTGCTGATGAGCTCTGTAGCACCGAAGCTGGATGGCCCTAGACATCGCTTATCTCTGAGCCTTGCTCTTTTGCTATCAGAGCGGCTGAACATACAGGAAGCTGCTGGGCCAGTAGCTGTCTCTCGAGAGGACTGGACATAAGGGTCAGAGGAAGCCTGCTGAAGGGAGGCCAGGAAGTCCTGGTTCCAGGGAATTCCCACTTCCAGGAGCTGAGCTGTGCACCCAGGAATTTCATCCATGGCTTTACTGCAAGGCATGTTGCTACCTGACAAAGCGGGCCCCTTGTTTGTGGAGGCGTTGTGCCCCACCCGAGTTACCCCTGCTGGGAGCAGCATGCCCCAGCAGGTGAGATCTCATGAGCACCTTGCCGGCATGTTTACATTGGGCATCCTTAGGGCCAGGGGTGGGTACCATATCCCTAGCCTCAGGGGTCTGGGACTGTTCCCCACGCCCCCTTCAGTCCCAAGACTCTACCAAGGTAGGTCAATGGGGTCTCAGGGGACTCTCTCCTCAGTCATGGGCTGGGAAGCTTGGGTTGGGGGGTGGCAGCTTCCAGCATTCCCAAGGCAGGCATCTATAAAGTCTTTGTGTAAGCCTGGTAGCCATCTCCTGTCCCTCTAGACTGGAAGACACAGACATCCTAGATGATGAAGGGGGAGATCTTGTCTCTAAGGGACAGCAGGCAGGATGGGGAATTATATTTCTTGCCATGCTGCAAGGCTATCCTCTGCCCTCAAGCCCCAGGCTACCCTTCCGCAGCATCTGCCTCACCCCCCAGAGAGAAGGGAGTTGGGATTCTCCAACAACTCAAGGCCCTGTAGAGAGGACACCTGTCTTTTCCCATTGCCTAGAAAACCTGCTCCGTGTTGATCTGAGTATGCTTGTTGCCATCACCTCTGAGCTATCCCTTTCTTTCTGATTGACCCATGTCCCTATATCTACCTCTGGACCCCTTTCTTTGCCTGTAAAACGAACACTCACAGGTGTTGAATGAGGGTGAGCTACCACGCTGAGACAGGCTCCTGAGTAGGCAGAGACCAGGGCTGGGCAGACAGAGCTCAGAGACATGGACATCTCCAGGATGACACCCGAAAGACCCCTGCCCATTGGGGCTGCCACTATAGGAGTCAGTCTTTTCCCAGCTCCACGGGGACCAGTGGGCCCTGTCCAGAATTCACCCTCTACAGAGAGCGGGGGACAAGGAGCTGCCTCCTGACCCTTCAGCCTGGCTGTACATTCATTCTTACAGCTGGATCTCCGTGGGCCTCTTGTTCACTGATGCCCAAGGTGGCCAGGCTTCCCCTTCCAAGATAGGGGTTAGCCTCACACTTCCCCTGCCTCTGCAGCCCCTGGCCCTCCGGCACATTGCCCACCAGATGCTCATGGAAGGGAGGCTGTACTGGAGACCTGCTCAGCTCTCCAGTGCCTCTGCAGCTGACATGTGCCAACTTGGCCTGGGCTTTGCTCTTCCCTCATGTGCTTGCAGGGTTCCTCCAACAAGTCCCCACCTGACACCTTCCCAGCCCCATGTCTTGTGGGATCCCAGCACCCTGGTGGTCCAGTGTGTGTGGGGTGTTGAGGACAGAAGACCTCAAAGGGCCTCCTTGGGACTAGAGGTCTTCACATGCCCCTTCTTGCATGCACCAGACTCCTCCCTCTAGCTCCTGGCATCACCAGGACATGGCAGTGGTAGCCAGAGAGTGAGGCAGGGACAGAACCTCACTAACTACTGTGGCTTGCATTCTTGACAAGAGGATCTCCCAGTAGGAGACCACATTGGCTGCTTGGCGCTCACCCTGGTCCCGGGAAGGAGAGCCCCCACGATGGGGAATGGAGCCACTGCTCTCACTGACCACTTTTTCCCCTTCTAATATAGAGAGCTTAGCTCACTGCCCTCCATCCTGACCTGGTCCAGAGGTAGATATAGGGACATGGGTCAATCAGAAAGAAAGGGATAGCTCAGAGGTGATGGCAGCAAGCATACTCAGATCAACACGGAGCAGGTTTTCTAGGCAATGGGAAAAGAGAGGTGTCCTCTCTACAGGGCCTTGAGTTGTTGAAGAATCCCAACTCCCTTCTCTCTGGGGGGTGAGGCTGCCTCAAAGCAAAGGCACCTCTGATGGGGAATGCTCTTCTGTATATACATTTCTCTTGTTGGTTGATGAATAAAACACTGATTGGCCAGGAAAGGCAGGAAGATAGGCAGGGCTAGGAGACAAGGAGAATGCTGGGACAATAGAGGCAGCCAAGAGATGCCGTGTAGCTGCCAAAGGAGTAACAGGTTTGGGCATTCTCCGGTAAGCCAAGAACATACATAGGTTAATAGTTATGGGTTAATAATTAAGACAGAGCCAATAAGAAGCCCTAGCCATCAGCCAACAGTTTGATAATTATGTCTCTGGATGCTTATTTGGGGCTGAAGGGTGTCAGGACCTGGTGGAACAGAAACCTCCACTTCATACCCCAGGAAAAAAACAAAGAAAGAACTGAGTAAAAGAGGCAGATGGGAAACATGGGGGCCCAGCCAGGCCTGAGGCTCTTCCTACCACTGGATCCAATTATGTTCGAATTCATTCCTACCTAGGACATAACATGAGCTGGTTATATATTTACTTCTTTATAATTTGAAGTGGCCCGACTAACCCAAAGCCCTGGCTTCCCTGTTGCACTTGGTTGCCAAGGAAAGCTAACCCACATGTATTACCAGCGTCCAGTCTTCATCAAGGACTGACCCACTCACCATTACTGGGGAGGTCATGCCCGGCAGGTGGAAGACATCCATGCTGGTCTCCTCACTGCCCACTGCCTCGCTATTCCCCCTGCTGGGCTGGGGAAGGTCAAAGTAGGTGCTGTCTGGCTCCCTGTGTTGTGGGGAAAGAAAACTGGCTGTTAGCATCTGGTCCAGCATCCCCTGCACTTCCCTTGGCTCAGGATACCAGGCTACCCCATGGATCCTGGCAGCCTTTGTGTGTCCAAGAGATTGATCATCTGTCCCCCCATCTTCTGGGGTAGGAGCTTTCCTACCCCAGCCCCCACCATGCCCACAAGCCCTTGGCTTGCCCCTCAGGCCTGATAGTACTGGGAAGAAACTGCTTCACATACATGGTCTCTGTACCCTGGACTTCTCCTGCCCAGAGCCATGCAGAGAACTGGCCGGAGGACAGACCATGCCTGTCGGTCATATGCATCTAGGCCATGGCCTAAAGCAGAGCCCTCTTCTAACCTGTTCCAAGCCAGCCAAAGCCAATCAAGCCGTGTGTGTGTGTGTGTGTGTGTGTGTGTGTGTGTGTGTGTGTGTGTGTGTGTGTGTGTGGGGGGGGGGGGGGAGAGAGGGGGTGAAGAAGCACCACAGATGCTCAAAGGTGGCTCCCTCGCCAGGGGAGGAGGGTGATTGGGCCATGTCCCCGGCACTGCGGCTCATTCTGGAGGGAGAAGAAAGACAACATGGGTATCCACGGAGTCCCATCCTCTGCCTTCCTCAGTACCAGGGGAGTGAAGTGGACAGGGCTGGCTATGGCAGTGCGGGGAAGCCCCAGAGCAGTGGCCCAGCTCTCCACCCATGCCGCCCGCCCCAACGCTGAGCCTCCCTCTTCCTTCTCATTCTCTTTCTTCCTGACCCCCTTCCCTTCCTTTCCTCCCTACCCTTTCCCCCTCAGGCATCCCACCGCTGGTTCAGGAAGTAAGACTGGGGAAAATTTGGCTTTAGAGACGCCATTCCTAGAATCTTCTGAGATGGAAAGGGGTCTGGACAGACAGGAAACAGCCTCCGGAAAACAGGTAACAAGGGCACCCCTTGTGTAGATGCTGTGGGGTGAGTCAATTTAGTCTCCAGGGCCTTGGGTCAGTTGTTGCAAAAAGAAAAAAAAAAAGCCAGGACTGTCACCGACATGTTCCCAGCCTACAGATACGGCCAAGGTTAGGCCAAGCCAGGTCTTGGTTGTGTGTTTGGTGGGGGAAGGTTGTCCCTGGTGCCCAGGACTTGTGACAGCTCAGACTTCATTAATTACTTTTAGTAAGAGCATGGGTAGGGTGCCCCCTGCTGGAGCCAGGCCTGGGATACAGCGCTGTGCAGGCTGTAGTGGAACTCACGAGGGGCAGGGTCCTCTGGGACCCACAGGTAAGCAAGCTTCACCCTGTGGAGTCTAAGGCCAAGGCCCCGAGATGGCCCTGCAGTGGTCACCTGTGGGTGGTCTCCTCCTCAAGGAGATAAAGGGGAGCAGGGTTACCCTGACCCCAGCTAATACTCACTGGCTCTCTCCCCACTATTTCCTTAGCACAGCTTCCCACACAGAAAGACTCCACCCAGGAAGAGGGTGGGGCAGGGGAACCCCAGCCCACCTGCCCGCTGCCCCCACCCCAGCTGAGGAACAGCTCCCTGGGGCAACCTTCTGAGCCCTGGGAGCCAGCCTGGCCCAGCCCTGTACTGCCAAGCCAACAAGTCCAGACTTGCCCGGGGCTGGCAGGGCAGATCTGTCACTTTTGTCTGACCCCGGCAGGCGGCTGCTCATAGAGGCCTGTGGCATATAGAGATGGCACGCGCCAGGCCATCGGTCCCCACAGATGTGGCACCAGCTGGAAGGGCCAGTACTTGAGCCCAGCTGAGTATAGGCAAAGAAAAATCTGAGGATGGAGGCTCAGCCAGCAAGGGAGGGCAGGACAGGACAAGTATCCTGTGCGTGTCACAGCCCCATCTTATTCAGTAATAAGATTTATTTTTCCTCACCTCCCACCCACCACAACTACGAAGGTTTTCACAAAGCATTGGCCAACCAGCATGGAAGGTTCGCAGAAACTGGCCTTCACCAGTTCCGGGGGGGGGGGGCTTGTCCCTTCCGGTGAGGAGCCGTTAGTCAGGGTGGGCTGGCCAGCTGGGCCAGGCTGGTGGATGAGGAGTGAACGGTGTGAAGGGGTCGGTTAGGCTAAGCCAACACCCTCAGACCCAAGAGGACACTCTTGTAAGTCCTGCCCCCAAGAGCCACTTGGTCCTTTTCTCCCTTTTACACTGACTCTGCCAAGCTCAGAAAGGGAGAGGACATGGCTCATGTCACACAGTAAATGGACAGCAAAGCTCAGATCCCTTCATAGCAGCGTTATCCACGTTTGCCAGATGGGGTGGAGGGCCAGGAACATCAGCAGAGGAGCTGACAGACGCCATGTGGCCGGAGCACATGGTAAGTGACATTTGGCCATGAGCAGCGATGAGCGGCTGATTTAAACCCCAGTGTAGATGAGCTGTGCAAACAGTCCTGAGCCGCCTAGTGTCTGAGTCTGTTGCTTCGACAGGTCTGTACAGAACAGGAAATCCAGAGGAGTCAAAGGCATATTGGGGATGCCAGCTCAGGTGGTGCAACGGCAAGCAAGTCCCAGGTTTTTTCGGGGGCTTAAATATGCTGGGACCAGACAGAAGCAGTGGCTGCACCTCAAGATGAACGGAGGTTGCTGAGCTCCAAGCTTCAAAATGCTGTTTGGAAGCCAGCCAGTGGTCACGCACATGCAACCCCAGCCATCAAGACGCTGAGGCAGGGACATCAGTTCAAGGCCAGCCTCAACTACATGAGACCTTGTCTCCAGAAGCAATAATAATAACACTACTTTTAAAATAAAATGCTAATTCCATGTTAGGCGAATTTCAGGGCATTCCTTACATTTCCTTAAATTCCATGCATTTACATACATGTGGTGCATGCATGTCTGCACGTGTGCCATGTGCCAGTGTTTAGAGGTCAGAGGATGACTTTCAGGAGTGGGTTCTCTCCTTCCACGTCACCAGACTTGGCAACAAGCACCCTTTCCCACCAAGCCACTTCACTGACTCACTTTTATTTTCTAAATTAAAAGCGGAAAGACCCATGGCTGAATCTGACACAGACATGAGTCGCATTGCCCTAGATGGTCTCCCACCTTCCCTTGCCACCCCCTGATGGCCAGGACTCAGGGTGGGAACGAGCACGTTGAAACTCCCTGTCAGGTGGGGGTCCCCAAGCAATGCTCCCCCAGTGCCCCATCTTGGATGTAGCCTGAGAAGACGACAGCAAGAGCCTTGAATGGGCCTGGGGTCTGGGTATCCCAGTGCAGCAAACACTAGGAGTACCCTGTTGGTACCTCCACCTTGCACACCTCACCCTACCTGTTGCCACCCTGCTGGCTGACCTCCTCAGTTCCAGCCATGGCATATCTGAAGATGGCCAGTCCTCTGGGTATGCAAGGAGGAACATGGGTCTCCCTTCACTCCTTGTGCCTACACAGCCGGGACAAGCAGAGGGACACTGAGAAGTGGCAGGCACCCAGTGCTCAGAGACAAAGCAGGGGTCGGGGTGGGGACTACCTGCAGACACCAGACATCTAGGAGCTCAGAAGATTTCACAACTGTTCCCCAACTACAAACCCAAGACTCTTCTTCGCACATCACCTACCTGCTAGGTCCTACTGCATCCACACAAAAGAAGGTGTGACCAACCAAATCCTCTGTCAGAGGCTTAAGATCAAACCCTGGCCTGCTCACCACATGGACACAGCACACACACACACACACACACACACACACACACACACACATTCCTATCTTGCCCCCGATTGGTTCCTTAGCCTCGATGGGGTGCACTTGAGCCAGCTGCCGGTATTTGGCTCTGCACTTCTGTTCCTTCAGTTGGGGACATGCCTTCTTGCCAAGTCTGTTGTGAAATATTAATTTAAGGTGTGTTACTTTTGTTTATGCTATGGAGCATTTGTTTTAGGATACAAAGAATGTGTCGCATTTTTTTTTT